TTAATAATAAAATAATAATGATAATTATCAATAAATAAATAAGAGATATTTATGTTAAACGCTTACATTCTAGAATTTTATATCATAATATATACAATAATACATTGATAATTATTTATTACAAGCGTTTTTAAATAAAGAAAAGGTGCAGTAATAATAATAATAATAATATTTTGTTTATGGTTATGCAAAAAAAAAAATTTAAGCTTTAATAAATAAATAAAAAGCAACAAAGTAATAATAATAATAATATTAATTTTCGTGTACGTGTAAAAAAAAAAGAAATGCAGATTTTATTTTATAAAAAAAAAGCTTTTCCAAAATTATTAATATAATATATCAAAGTCTTACCTGTAAGGTGTTTATATCGATGATATTATTCGCAGATTAATATTATTATTAATTAATTAATTAATTAAATATATATTAAAAAACTTTTTTTCTTTTAAAAAGGAAAAGAAAAACATTAAATAATTAATGTAATAATTTAAAATAAATAAAAAAAAAAGAATACGAAAGCTCAAAAAAAGTTAATTACATTTTTTTTATTAATCGATAATAATAATATTTTAGCAAAAGCAAATTAATAAATAAATTTGACCTAAAATAATAATAATAATAATTGTAGGAAAAATCAATCAAATAAAATAATAATAATTTTTATCAAGTATTATTCAACTTGCAACAATTTCTAAATAGTGAAAGTAGTAGTAGTAGTAGTACTAAATTTTATATAAATATTTTAATTTTTTTTTTATCAAGTAGGAATTGAACGTGTTTGTTTTATGGATGAATAATAATAATAATAATAATTAATGGAAAATTAAATAAAAACCTTCAAAATACTACAATAAATAAAAAAAAAACATCATAAAAATGAAAAAAATGAAAAAAGAAAATTGTGCAAATTTTTTTTTTAATGAATTTTTGTGTACCTTTTTCATATAATTATATATGCAAGCTAGTTAAGGTTATTTAAAACCTCCTCTACCTTATATCTCTGCAGCAAACTTAATTACTTTATTATTATTATTATGCTAAATACATACAAATTAGTAAAAATCGCGGAATAAATTTTTTAATTGAAAAAAAAAAAAAAATTAAATAATTTAACCTATTGAAATTTTTTTTTTTTTTTATATCACACGTTTAACAAAAAAAAAAAAAAACTACTTATAAAAAGCACTCAAACTAACTTAAATAAGCTCTCTTCTACGTATACACACGCACGCACACACACATATATATAGAACCCAACACGCGCATTCACATACACTTAAAACGATCGAGGAAAATTTTATAAATATATGTGTGAGTGCAAAAAAAAAACCAGAAAGCAGGTTATAAAAGAAATATATATTATATGAATGAAAACGCGTAGAGAAAAACAAAGCAGAAAAAAGAAAAGCCAAAATAATAATAATAATAATAAAATTAAATTAAATTAAATAATAATAATAAAAATAAAAAAAAAAAAGGAAAAAAAAAATGTCGGAAAAAAAAAGAGCGCTAGCAATTGTTTTTGCCCCCGACGAGGACGCGTTCCGAAGCAAATTTGACCGTATTGTGGATAGCAGGAGCAGACGATAAAAAGGGAAAAAAGCGCAGAATCAAATCCCCAACCGAATCCCGGTACGATTTTCCCTTTTTTTTATTCCTCCCTCATTCAATTTTATTGATTTAAAAATTTTTTTTTTTATTACTACTATCATTTTTATTTTCAACCATCATTTTATAGTAAATAAATAAATAAATAATAATAATAATAAATAGTCGTAGTAATATATAATTTCTTGTAAAAATCATCCAAAGGAATTTAATAATAATAATAATAATAATTACTATATGGGATTTTTATCTCACGTTTTTTTTTTTTTTCGGAGAGCAAGCTTGAATAAGCTTTTTAATAATCAATAAATGAGAAAGTCCCAGATGAAAACGAAAAAATAAAATAATAATAATAAACACAATCGAAAGCACATAAACTAAATTATTATTATTATTATTATTATTATTATTATTATTATTATTATTATTATTATTATTATTGTTTTTCTTTTTTCTTTTTTCTTTTTTTTTTGGAAAATGTTTCGAAAAAAAAAAAAAAAATTAAAATGAGTTTTTGGTAAAGTTTGATTGATAATCGACATTTTTAACAGAAAAAAAAAGAAAACTTTTTGATTTCGTATTGCATTTTTTTTTATTCACTAACAATAAAAAAAAAATTTTCTTTTCTCGCTCTTTTCCTCCTAAGACACAATAATAATAATAATAATTAAATAAAAAAATTTTTCAGTGAAAATAATTTACGTAATTTTTTTTTTTTTACCAAAAATAAAAAGTAACCCATTGAAATAATATATACTCTTCTCTTTTATTATTATTATTATTATATTATTTTAATTTATTTATTTATTTGAGATTAAATGCCTTTACGTCAACAATTACTTAATAACAAAATAAATAAATAAATAACCTAATTATGTGTTAATCAGACTCAAATAAATTTTAAAAATTGTTAATAAATAAAATAAATCGTTGACGGTTATATTATTATTATTATCATTATCATTTCAATGTAAATTCAAAAAAAAATAATAATAATAATAGAAATAAGATGAAAAAAAAAAAATTAATTGTTAGAATTATTGTTTAAATTAAATAAACGGAAGTGATTATTAATATGAATTTCCGGAAAATTTTTTTTTTTTTATGTATGCTTACTTACCGTTTGTAAGTTTGATGCAAAAAGTTTGAAGAATATGGCACAAAATAAAAATATTTCGCCATGAGCAATTCCCACGAAATGACTGAGCCATATTGTGTCCTGAAAATAATAATAATTTTATTATTATTAATTATTTATAATTAATTAGAAAAATTTTAAAAAAAGTTTTTAAAATTAGTTAAACCGATGTTTAAATTATTATTATTATTATTATTCCAGTATTATTATTATTTAAATAATTTTGAGTTAAAAAGTTAATTAATTTTAATTTTTTTAATAAAAAGAAATCATTAAATATTATTATTATTATCATTATTATTATTTAAAAAAAATTAATATAAATTAAATAAGGTTGTAGTGAAAGGTACACTTTTAATTATCATAATAATTAAAAAAAAAATAAATTTGGGTTCGTATAAGAAAAATACACAAAAGATATATTTTTTTTTGACGTGGCACCAGAATATTTTTTTTTCCCCTTCGAAGTGGTTCTAAGTTTTTCTTTTATCGAGCTATCGAAACCGAATTTATTCAGTTTTATCAAAATCAACGGCTCAATTTAAAAAAATTTCTGATGCCACACCCAAATTATAATAAAGACATTTTTTTTTTTTTAAATTTTTAATAATAATAATAATAATAATAATAATAATAATAATAATAATATTAATAATAATAATGCACGTTAAAAATAAATAAAAATAAATAAAAATAAACTTACCATTATCGTGTGAATCCAAACTTGTGTGCACTGTATTATAAAAACCTAAAACAAATCTTTTTTTTTAATAATAATTATTTAATAATGAACATAATATATGTATACATTTAATTCTTAATTGAAATAATAAGATTTTATGTAAATAATCACGTGATATATACATAGAAAGTGTTATCATAACATATATAAATTGATATTAAAAAATATGAAAGATTTTCTTTTAAATGTTACATTGTTTTTACTCTTTCTCTCTCTCTCTCTCTCTCTCCCATAATATTCTAAA